GGTCTAAGACGACAACCCCAACCACCGGGAAGACCTGCGGTTCACTCGCCACCTCCCCTCTCTCTTCCGCCTCCTCGTCGAAGTTAAGTTTGTTCACTTGTTCCTCAATTGACAACCTCTTATACGAATTGACAATATCTTCCATCCAAGACTTATCACGGTCGAACGCCCTACTCTTCTTGCCCAGGTCCAGAACTGCCTCTGCTACTCGACTGCTGCTAGCTATGCCTTCCCCGATCTAAATTGCCGATCTTCGTAGATAATGAAATCGGAAACGTAACCCTAGGTCCCTAGCGGTCGAGCCCTAGGAAAAACGAAGGTTTAGAGAGAGCCTGTCCACTTTTTAAGATTATAGTTAATAATCTTGCAAAAAAAAGATTATAGTTACTTTTCTAGCAGGGTTGAATGAAGTTGTAAAAGATCATTTTAGTCATTTTTCATATTTTTTTTCTTTGTTTTAATACTAGTAATAAATATTGCTTACATCTTAAAATTAATTATTCATTATTCAACATAATCAACGAATTCAGACACATCAATCGAAACTTCAAAAATATCATCAGAATCTGCCAGTTCAGTCATTTTTTGTGTTACCAAGCACGCTCTCGATTTTCTGGGAGCGGACTCCTGAAGAGGCTGAAATCTCTGTTTCAAATAGTCATTTACTAAGCTTTTCTACATTCTTAGACCATTGGGCTATTGGGCTGGACAAAATCACCAGTTCAAGGATGAAAATCAGACTGCTTGTGATAAACTTAGGTTTTGTTTGCAACCACTTCTATCTATTTATATATAAGAAAAGAAACAGCTCTTCAAAAGACAATTATATCCTTCATTAATCTTAGGTGTCATTGTGTCCACAATTTTCTCCTCTCATTCCTTACTGCCATGTGATGAGGTCTGGGGCTATTTTTGTATATCTGCCCTTCATTCAACTGATGAGAGCCTGAGATGGATGGTCTCTGCTTCCGCACACCAATTTCTTCACATGTTTATCTTATCCACTTACTTCTCTCATCTCAAGATATTTGAACGCTATTTGATTATTTATAATTCTTCATCTCTAATCGATTGCAAAAATGCCGCAACCACTGTCCAAGTAGCAGAGGTACGGCTACTAATTCTCTGTTTCTCTTTTCATCTTTCTCCAATCGTTTCATCTAAATAAGCGATAAAACAATTCTACTGCTTCAATATGTTGGGAGTTCCCTGCATTTCGTTTATTAAATCAAGCAACCAAGTTTATTTCTCCCCTGCATTTCGTTTCAACATATTGTTCCCTTCATTTTTCGGGAGTCCTTTATATATGTTCTGAAAGCACACTACTGTTTTTAGTCACTATATTAATTCTAGGATTTCTAAGTTTATTTATACCATGGACTACAAAGGAGAGGAAGCATAGGTACGTTACCCCTTCTCCTCATTCTATACTATCGTATTTGTTTATTGTCGATGAATTTATTTCTCAGTTGACCAGTTTTAGTTTCTTTACCCAGTAATGACCTATTTAATTTGAAAAAGAAAGTCTACGGGGGTCGGTGATCATCAGCAGGTGTTCGATGAAATGTTTATTTACATTAGAAGAAGATATTAGTTCAATTTATGAACTAATAAATTTATCATGCAGTGTGATCGCCTCTTTTCATGTAATGAATATGACCTTCTATCCTTCTATCCTTTGTGTGAACTCCATATATAACAAAAATGAGAGACTCATTATGTTAATTTTCTGCCCTTCTATCCTAGGTGTCATCAGCCCCATCTTCTCCGATTAAGTAATGTTATCTCTAATGCTTCCTTTTCCTTTGTGTTTGATGTGTTAGCACCGCTGCTATTTGAAGACCCTCATCCTCCACTCTTTTCATCAACTCTCCAAATTTGACATCTCTTCTTTCATTCGTTATACGATGTGTTTCTCTATGCTTTGAAATAATTACAATCGAAGACAATTACTCCCTCCCACGTCTCCCACAATTTTTAGAACGTACTTATCTTCAAACTCTATATTCTTAAATTTTTGTTTCTAACCCTGACATTTTTAGGCCCCTACAGATCTGCTACAGGTATACATTGGAGAAGCCTCTGTCTATACTATCCTTGGTCCTTGCTATTAGCTGCAGGTGATATTTCAAAAGCTTACAAGCTGAAATATCATACTCCGTATTATATGAGCCTATTTTGTGAGTTTACATCATGTAATTACATTGGGAATGGTTACTGAAACAGTATCATGTTTTTGGCAATTTTATCGTATAAGCATCATAATGTTATGATTATGAGTAACTTACCAGACTTCGTTGTAAACTGAAAAGGTATCAATTTTTAACAACAATACTGAATATATTCTTTTAATAATGATATCATACATTATGCATCAGCCAATTCACTCCAAAGTATAAAAATCCTAAAGTATACCATGAAATCTAAACTGAAAACTGAAGTTAAACTTTAATTTAGTTGCACCAAGATTAATGTTATAACAGCAAACTGCGCCCTTCCTACTGTTTTATGAGTAAAGTATAAAACGCATTGGGTTTTTTCTTATCTCTCAATTTAAAGTGTTCAACAATAATTAGGGTTAAAGTGAAAGAGTGTCTGTTCCACAATAATCTTAAGACTAAAAGTGAAAAAAATTTAAGTTCAGCACCAAAAGTGTCACTGACATAATAGTCGGATGACATAATAGTCAGAGAACTGAGAATTGGAATGCTTATGTATGTCAGTCTAGATGCCTAAAGAAAGTGAAAATTTTCATGTCTTTTACGGCTATGATTTGAGAACACTAAAATTATAAGTAGTGAATATATACATTTTTTAGATTCCTGGACATCATGATTAATTCTCTAATAAGAATAAAGGATTTCAACAAAAAGTTTAGGTCAAGGAATGAAAATAAAGATAGATACATATATAATTCAGGCTTAATTCAAAAACCGGAGCTCTTTCCCTTTATAAATTGTAGTTTTAGATTTATACATGTAACATGTCAAACACTATGAATTACATACAAATTTCTTTATTTGTTTTTGGACACAAGGGCTTCCAACATCGGGGTAATTACATTTTTAGTGGAACATGTGATCAGTATCGATGACAATTGACACACACTATGTTGCCCGTCTGAACTCCATTTATGCAAGGTACCATAGCGAGTAGGCCATTTTAAGAGTCTTGCTTGAGATCTTATCGAGTATGATAACTAAAACAAGATCATGTTTTTGGTAATTTTATCTTATAAGCATAAAAAGGTAATGATTATACGATAGTATATGAGTAACGAACACTAGCCTATATTTGTGAATTGTTTGCAAAGCTCTATTCGGGATTACTGTGTGACTGCGTCTATAAACACTTTGCTCATGATCACCACCAAGTTAATTTCATCTTTTCTAATGATTAATATTAACCTACACTAGACTTAGTTGTAAACCGAAAATGTATAAATTACAAACAACTATAGTGACTATATTCTTCTATTAATGATGTCAGTGGCGTAAATACTTTGCTCATGATATCAATGACTATATTCTTTTACAAAAATATATCAACTTTTTGTATGATCTTTAGTACTGCGTGTGACATTAATATTGAATACATCAACTTTTTTCAAAAGCTGGCCTTTCCCCAACTTCTAAAAAAACTATTTCTAGGTTTAAATTAGTGCAACCAGAAGTATTTCTACACTTTCACTCAAACACTCCAATTTTTTCTTCTGCTCCCTGAAGGAACAAAAGCAGTTATAAAAATCAATTCCAAACACCCCCTAAATAAGCTTCCTATTTTCGAACCTCACTACGGATTATTTCATACTACCTCCATCCCAATTTAGTTAGCCAATCTTGACTTTTTCGGTCAAAGGTGGTAAACTTTGACCAATTATTTTAACTAATATATTTATGAAAAAATTAATAATTTTATACTTTTATAATAGTATTTTTAACAAAGAACATTTTCATATAATTTTTATATTATTAATATTTTCTCTATATAGATATATAATCGGTGAAGTTATGTACCATACCATTGATTTGAAAAATGAAGTTTGGTTAGTAAATTGGGACGGAGGGAGTATTAAAATAAGAAAGAATTCCTAAAATGCAAAAAAAAAGTAAGAATAGTGTATAGAATATAAATTTTTAACATTCACTACAATAATGCTTAAAATAAAATCAAAGCATCTTACGTGTTTTCTACCCAATTTTAACTCCTTTACTATGTAACTGTCACGTGACAATTTTACCATATGAAATAGTAAAGGAGGGTAGTTAACGAAGTATGATAACTGTCAATTGGCAGGATGACAAATTTTACACATGAATCTCATCAAATTCGAAAATACCCCTCATCTCATAATTTTATCGCTCATATGTATTGATTTTAAATTTAAGAATAAGCCATAAGTTGTCTAACTTTTGAGTGAAAAATATCTCTCTCATAAGCAGTGGTTTTAGGTATAACATAATCCGGATAACGGGGAGAATTTCCTCTATCATATATAGTGTTTTTAGGTATAAGACAAGTCGGCTAACAATTGAACGAGAGAATTTTCTTTCTCATATGTAGTGCTTTTAGGAATTAGAAGATAAGCTTGCTACCAGTTGAGCGGAAGATTTATCTCTCTCTATACATTTTTTTAAGTATAAGATACGTCGCCTAACAATCGAGTGATAGAATTCTCCTCTATCATTTAGGTATAAGGTAAGTCGACTAACAATTGATGAACGGGGAAACTTTCTGTGACACCGCACCCAAACGTCCTTGAAAATTTGGTTTTAAAAATTCAAAGTTTATGTATTGGATTTCTGATTCCCAAACGATTGTAAAGCGATTAATGTTTTACGTAATTAATGATCGATTTTTGTACTGATCGAACTCGTATATTAGTATCGGGCCTTAGTAATAAATAAGAGAGCCCAACATTATCAAAATAAGTGATAGGATGATTAGAGAAGAATACAAATGCCTATAGTCCCATCTTTGACATTATTGAGCTAAATAATTGGAGTAGGACTTTTTCCTTCTATAATATCCATCAAGTAATTTATTGAGATGAACCTACACATATTGGAGATCAATAATGTGATGAAGGAAGTTGACTTGTTCTAAATAAATTAGGATGAGTACAAAAAGGCATCTTTGACAAAAGATAAAACAATAGGACCCATCTTCCCATTTTTTGGAAGTATTGATAGATATTTTGGACTCAAAGTTGAATGGGATCAATTGGGAACCATCCCACATGGACTTAGTACCTGCAAAACAAAGAAGAAGAGGTGAGATGACTACATGGGGCGGACTCTTGGCTCATATACACAAAACACTCCAAGAGAAAACAAAAGGGGGAGGTCCACCCCATATTTGATTGCAAACCAAATATCTCTCATGCTCTTTTGTGAGCCACATGCTCTCTTAGCATGTTTAAGGCATCCTTTACACTCCCCCCTACACCCCATTCGAACTCCCCAATATAAGAGAGAAGGAGAGAGCCACATAACCAAGATAAGCCAAAGAGAGAGCAAGCTGTCCGCAGGTTCGTTCTTCAGTGCGTAGCTCTGATTGTTTGAGCCATAACTTGAGATTCACTCGTCCAATTTAGTCGTATAAGATACCAAAAGAAAGCTCTCAAGACGAGGAATCCGTGGAGGTCTGGTTTGCATCAATCGGAGTAGTGGAAGGCTTCCAAATCGTCCGAGCAAAACGAAACCTCGCAGGAACGGATTAAATCTTCTAAAGTGAGTTTGAACCCCCAACACATTTCTTTTCATTTTTCAAATGATATGAACGATTGGTGGGACTATTATACACTACTTCAAGTGTATAATATGTCCTTATAAAGTTATTTTATGTGTGTAAAGGTTGGATACTAACCTAGAGCAAATCTTGGAAACTAGGAAACGAGTTAGCCGGAAAACACCCATTCTAGGGGCTGTTTTCGTATCAACGATTAGGGGTTGAACTAGCACTTCGAGGGGGCTGTTTAACACTCATTCCTAAGCAAGGAATCAGTTCTCAAGCTTCCTTGGCCGAGGCTTTGGTCATTGGATCGATAAGGAAGGTTTTAAAGCTCAATTGAGGTGAGGATTGACATCTAATTGCTTACAACTTGTAGGTTAAGCATGAGATTACCTAAATGCTTAAATCATTATTTTTCATGGATTATGATGATTATATATTGATGAAATATTGATATAGTTTCCAAAGAATGAAATTTGGAATGATTTGAGAATGTATGAATATTATGAGATTAAATGAGTATAAATGAACTATTTTTGTGAAATAGACATTTTGCTCATGTATGAATTATGTGGTTACATAAATGAATATTTGTGTATTGAGATTGAATACTTAAGTTGCTGCTACATAACTATAAATATGTAGAGAATTACAAATAATGAGGATAATGGTATGATAACAATAATCCTAATAGTATTGAAATACTAGTTAGTGATTATTGGAACTTGTTGATTAAATTGATCCTAGGGATTGGATTGTATGAAAGGTACTTGAAGTGTATCTAATAACTTAGTATGGAACTAAGGTTAAGTTATGGGAAGTCTTTAAGGATGACCCATGGTAGTTTAATGATATGTCAATTCTAGGCATAGGGTTGCTTGAGAATTGGACCTTAATGCATGGTGATGTGATAGAGCCGAGCTCTAGAATGCATGTAAGGTGTAGACTTGGAGTCTATGTATTGTATAGCTAGAGCCGAGCTCTAGGACTTGCGTGGTGATGTGATAGAGCCGAGCTCTAGAACGCAAGGTAGGGAAATTGACCCGAGTTATATGAATTGTATGGTGATGTGGTAGAGCCGAGCTCTAGAATACAATGTCATGTACTAGGGTTGGACTCTAGGAGTTGTTGTGGCTTATAGTCACGGGGTTGGGAATGGTGATTTCCAAATGAACATGGGCCCACGGGCCGACTACTTGACTTTTATATAAAGTAAGTATATTTTTAAACGGGGTAACCTAGGGTTACAATCATAATGTACTATCACCCTATTTGAGGGTCTTGTGTTTGAAATACTTGTTGTATATCTATTAGATGCCTGCCACACCAGTACTTTATAGCCGTATAGAGTACTGACCCCTTCGGGGGCGTCCCACCACCATTTCAGGTTGAGGCTAGAGCTTGCTTCCTGTGCTCGTTGCCCGAGTGATTTCCCCCGGAGAGAAGACTTGGTTCGTGCTTCCTCCATTCTGTTTTAGAACATAAATAAACATGCTCATGGATATTTTACTTTAGAGCCTGCGTGCTCATGTTTGCCCTATGTGACCCTTTTGTTTTAAATAATGTTTTCCGCTGCGTATTGAATTGTTTATTATGTATGTTTATGGATGACTTATGTGTGAATGATATTCATGACGCCTTGTATAATATGAATGTGTTGGACTGCGGTTGACTATTCGTATTGTACGGCGGGTTGTTGACGTGTCCGGGGAGGTCCGGGGCGTGACAATTAAGTTGGTATCAGAGCCTTAGTCCATAAACTTCATAATGAAGTCTCAAAATTCTCTTTTTGAAAAGATTTTGAAAAAACTATGAGCATAGAAGTTTTGTACTTGGAGAGCTTTTGGTACTTGGGTTGCAAGGTCTCTAATTGTTAAGATGGTACCCTTAGCAATTGGTATGGCGGTGACTCGAGCCAAAATGTGTCTTAAGTACCTATCCGTCAATTGACATTTGATACGAGTCTAACGACTCTTTCCAAATTCTTTCAGAAATGGACCGTGGTGGCAGGATTACTAGGAGAAACCCGACCGGCCGTGTACCAGTGGAGACTGGACAGGGCAGTCGAAGGACCTCTAGGGCATCTAGAGGAGCTGGCCGTGGAGGCCGATCACAGACCGTAAGTGACGGCCATGTTGACACAGAAAGTGAAACCTACTGGTCCTACGAGGACTCGACTTACCAACCGGAAACCGAGCCGGTTGAGACCCCTTACGAAGGGGATGACGATGATGTAAGTGATGAAGAGGGGGAGAATGACTCCCTAGCAAGAATTGAGGCGCTGCTCCAACAATATCAACGGGAGCGCGAGGAAAGGAGGCAATGCCGAAGACGCCGAGCGGGGCAACCTTCGGGCATGGCTTCGAGAGGAGGAAGTCATGGTGCATCTAGAGTCCATGTGGAACCACATGGAGGCCAAAATGATGGAGGTCCAACCATAAGGATCTCCAAATTTATCAAAGAAGCAAGAGATTTGGGGTGCAAACCCTTTGATGGAGCAGGGGACATTTCAGTTGCAGCACAATGGATCAAGAGGCTAAATGAAGCAGCCCTTGACATGCAAATCGCGCCGAATCTCAAACTGAGAATTGCGGTAAGATTGCTCGAGGGGATGGCATCCAAGTGGTGGGATGGAACCAAGAGCAAGTACGGTGAGACCGTCGTTTGGGAGGACTTCCAACGGGAGTTCTTTGCCCAATATTATTCTGATTTTGAAGTGAACAAGAAGGTGAGGGAATACACCCTCCTAACCCAGGGGGGTAACATGACAGTGAAGGAACTTGAGTACAAGTTCCGAGATCTCGCCGACTACATACCGGAGTATGCTTGTGACGAGAACCGAATGGCAAACCACTTTTGGGATGCTCTTGACTTGGAGATACGTGATAGGGCAACACAATTGCCTAATATGACCTTCGCCCAAGTGGTTGACCAAGCGTTGAAGGGGGAGAAACAGTGGGAGGAGAGGAAGAAGAGAGACGCCGAGGAGGTGAAAAAGAGAAAATGGGAGAGTCATGGCTCCCAAGGTTCCAACAAAAAGGGGAACCATGGAGGAGGATCTTTCCGGGCACCGCCGCCACCGTCTAGGGGGAATCAAGGCCCGAGTGGGCAAGGCTCGAGGTCACAAACCTCGGTGGTAACTCGTTGCAACAATTGCAAGAGGAACCACTCCGGTAAATGTCGCGACCCCCCTAGATGTTTTCAATGTGGGGATGCCGGGCATTTGAAGGCGCATTGCCTACAATTGGGTGGGACAAGGACATCGGGACCGAGCAGTGGCTCGACGGGTACACGGAATCAAACCGGAGCTTCTCAAGCGAGCCGGGGACATGGGGGAGCGAGTACGAGCAACGCGCCATCCGTGAATCAAGGAAGAACTCAAGCTAGAGTTTATGCGATGACGGAGGCGGATGCTCGATCTAACCCGGACTCGGTTGCAGGTATTGCCTCTTGCACAATTGTATTTTGCCCATATTTAATCCATAAATTGATGACATAAGTCATAGGGATTGAGTGCGAGCCATTACGGGGTCAAACGGCGAAATTCGGGCCAAAACTGACCAAAAACAGGGACGCACGATCGTGCGTCCAACCCCACGCACGATCGTGCGTAGGGGACAGTGGTTCCAGGTGAATTTCGCGCAGGACGCACGACCGTGCGTGCCGGTACGCACGCCGTGCGTGGACGCACGATCGTGCGTGGCCGGGTACGCACGATCGTGCGTAACCGGCAGTGGTCGGATTCGATGTTTTTTCACGCACGCACGACCGTGCGTGTCCCACGCACGACCGTGCGTGGACCCCAGCCGCCCGAAACACGAGTTTTTCATCCCGTTCTTCTATGATTGGACCCCCGTTTGATTCCGAACATTTATATGAACCTATTAACCTCCTAAAAAGTGTCCTAAACCATTAGAAAAGGTATCTTACATGGTGTATAAATGTAGGAACATTAAAGATTAATGGGAAGGATGCACGAATCCTTATCGATACCGGGGCGCAACGTTTGTTCGTGAGTGAGGCGTTCGCCGAGGACTTAGGGGTACAATCAACACCAATGACGCACACATTAGTGGTATCAACATTACTAGGGGATGATGTCGAAAGAACTAGTTATTATCCATCTTGTGAGGTGGAAATTGATGGCCAAACCTTGACGTGTGATTTCGTACCGCTGAGTATGATGGAGTTCGATGCAATCCTAGGGATGGATTGGCTAGAAAAGCATCATGCTAGGGTAGATTGCTACACAAAGGTTTTGGAACTCGAAGGCAATAATGGGGACACCCTACGCTTCGAGGGGGATCGAGGCAAATCAAACAGTTGTATTATTTCCACCGTGAGAGCGAGAAGTATGATGAGAAAGGGATGTCACGCATATCTAGCATACGTGGTTGACAAAACCAAGGAGGAAACGAACATTGACGACGTGAGGGTGGTTTGTAAGTACCCGGATGTCTTCCCTAAAGACCTACCGGGGCTTCCACCTGATAGGGAGATTGAATTTGTGATCGAGGTCGAGCCTGGTACCAAACCAATCTCCATACCGCCATACCGTATGGCACCCGCTGAACTTAACGAGTTGAAGACCCAATTGCAGGAGCTTTTGGATAATGGTTTCATTAGACCCAGCCACTCCCCGTGGGGAGCACCAGTTCTTTTTGTGAAAAAGAAAGACGGGACACTCCGAATGTGCATTGACTATCGTCAACTGAACAAGGTCACAATCAAGAATAGGTATCCTTTGCCTAGGATTGATGACTTATTTGATCAACTACGAGGAGCAACCGTGTTTTCAAAGATTGACTTGAGGTCGGGGTACCACCAACTGAAGATTAAGGAAGATGACATACCAAAGAGTGCTTTCCGCACAAGGTATGGGCATTTTGAATTCCTTGTTATGTCGTTTGGGTTAACAAACGCCCCGGCGGCATTCATGGACTTGATGAACCGAGTATTTCATAAATACTTGGACCGATTCGTGATTGTGTTCATAGATGACATCTTGATTTACTCAAAGAGTGAAGAAGAGCATGAAGAGCACTTGATACTTGTTCTTGAGACACTACGGGAGAAGCAACTCTATGCCAAATTTTCTAAATGTGAATTTTGGCTGAAGGAGATTGGCTTCCTCGGGCACGTGGTTTCTGGATCGGGAATTGCTGTTGACAACAAGAAGATAGAAGCCATTACCGAATGGGAGAGGCCAAAGAACGTCAAGGAAATTCGTAGTTTCCTTGGATTGGCAGGCTACTATAGGAAGTTTGTGGAAAAGTTCTCTGTTTTGGCATCACCATTGACGAAGCTCACTTGTAAAGGGGCTAAGTTTGTATGGGATGACAAATGTGAGAAGGGGTTCATGGAACTAAAGAAGCGATTGACCGAGGCACCGGTACTTGCATTACCCAAAAAGGGTGTGGGGTACGATGTATATAGCGATGCCAGCATCCAAGGGCTTGGATGTGTACTGATGCAGAATGGGAGGGTAATCGCCTATGCTTCACGACAGTTGAAGAAGCATGAGGTGAATTATCCTACTCATGATTTGGAGCTGGGGGCAGTGGTGTTTGCACTGAAGATATGGAGACATTATCTCTACGGGGAGACATGTCACATATACACTGATCACAAAAGCTTGAAATACGTGTTTACTCAGAAAGAGCTAAACATGAGACAAAGACGGTGGATGGAGTTGATAAAAGACTACCATCTAGTGATAGAGTATCACCCCGGCAAGGCAAACGTGGTAGCAGATGCTTTGAGCCGGAAGAGCTCGTCTGGGGCATTGCTAGCTAATTTGAGGGCATTAAGAGCCCAACTGGAGGTATCCAGCGATGGTGCCTTATTGGCACGATTTGAGGTGAGACCTACGTTACTTGATGAGATCAAGAAGGGTCAGGAAACAGACGAAGAAATTATGAAGATCCGGGAACGCATACAAGCAGGACCGGTGGAGGACTTTAGAGAGAGAGATGACGGTCTCTTATTATTTCGTGACCGAGTGTGTGTACCGGCAGATGATGAGCTCCGAAAATCCATCTTAGAGGAAGCTCATTCATCGGCTTATGCCATGCACCCGGGGGCACGAAGATGTACCGTGACTTGAAGGAGAGTTACTGGTGGTCGGGTATGAAGAGAGAGATAGCCGAATATATCAGTCGATGCCTTACTTGTCAACAAGTTAAGGCAGAACATCAGCATCCAGCAGGCTTATTGCAACCACTTTCCATTCCTGAATGGAAATGGGAACACGTGACTATGGATTTTGTGGTAGGTTTACCACGAACAGTCAGGAACTATGATGCAGTTTGGGTTGTAGTAGATAGGCTCACGAAGAGCGCACACTTTTTGCCTATCAACACTACCTACCCACTTGAGAGGTTAGCCAAATTATATACGGATGAGATCGTGAGGCTGCATGGGGTCCCAGTGACCATTGTATCCGATAGAGACCCACGATTCACATCACGTTTTTGGCCGAAATTTCAGGAGTCTATGGGAACGAGGTTGAAGTTCAGTACTGCTTTCCACCCACAGACGGATGGGCAGTCTGAAAGAGTCATACAGATCTTAGAAGACATGCTGAGGGCTTGTGCATTGGAGTTCCAAGGAAGTTGGGACAACCACTTAGCACTTGTGGAATTTGCCTATAACAACAGTTATCAGGCAAGCATCGGTATGCCTCCATACGAGGCATTGTATGGGAGGAGGTGCCGTACACCGTTATGCTGGGACGAGGTTGGCATGGCCAAACTCGAGGGTACCGAGTTGGTTGAGGTCACCAAATCAAAGGTGAAGTTGATCCGAGAGAGACTCAAAGCGGCTCAGGATAGACAAAAGAGTTATGCAGATAAGCGTCGAAGAACCTTAGAGTTTAAGGTTGATGACGAGGTATTCTTGAAAGTTTCCCCTTGGAAAGGGATCATTCGATTCCAAACCCGAGGAAAACTTAACTCACGATATATAGGTCCATTCAGAATTATAGAAAGGATTGGGCCCGTAGCATATCGTCTACAGCTGACTCCGGAGTTAGAAAAGATACATAATGTGTTTCATGTATCCATGCTTAAGAAGTATGTGCATGATCCCTCTCACGTATTGGAAAAGCCGCCTGTAGAGGTACGTGAGGATTTGAACTACGCTGTGCAACCAATCAAGGTCACCGATAGAAAGGTGAAGAAACTGAGGAGCAAAGAAGTCCCAATGGTTAAAGTCCTTTGGAAAAGCGATCGGGTCGAAGAAGAGACATGGGAAGCAGAGGCCTTGATGAGGAAACAACATGCTTTCCTTTTCGAGTAGAGCTGTGAATTTCGGGGACGAAATTCCTGTTAAGGGGGGGTGAACTTGTGACACCGCACCCAAACGTCCTTGAAAATTTGGTTTTAAAAATTCAAAGTTTATGTATTGGATTTCTGATTCCCAAACGATTGTAAAGCGATTAATGTTTTACGTAATTAATGATCGATTATTGTACTGATCGAACTCGTATATTAGTATCGGGCCTTAGTAATAAATAAGAGAGCCCAACATTATCAAAATAAGTGATAGGATGATTAGAGAAGAATACAAATGCCTATAGTCCCATCTTTGACATTATTGACACTACTAGAATTTTTGTCATTTGCTGCTACCTTTTTGCTGCGGTTGTTGGTGTACCCGCAGCAAAATGTTAAAATTTTGAACTAATTGCGGCGGTTACACAAGAACCGCAACATTATCTTAAATTTTTTTGGAGTATTAGCTGCGGTCACTATGGAACCGCAGCATTATCTAAAAAAAATTGAATTATTTTTTTGGGATCTTTAATTACCGCAGCAAAATAACACCTAAAATAACCAGCCTCCATCTATCAGATCCGCAGCCTCCAAACAAACCCCTCCACATCCGTTAGCACTTCTACATCGATCGTCCAAAAAAAACCCTCCAACACTCCGTCGACCGTCCGCCCTTCCCAGCTGCAGCCTCCGAACGCCGACCTTCCAAGCCGCAGCTGCAGCCGTCGCACGCCCTCCCTCCTAGCCGCAGACGCCGCACGCGGCTCCTCCCAGCCTCGTCTGTTGAACGCCGCTCCTCCAGATGTAGCCGCTGAACGCAGCTCCTCCAGTAGCGGCTGAACGCCGCCCTACTCCGCTCCCTCCTAGTACACTCCTTTGCCGACTCAGTGGCTGAATAGAGGTTTATTTTCCAACCTTTTATTTTACATTTTATTTAATTTATTGAATTTTGTCAAATTTGTTGTACATTATTAGCATTATTAGCATTTGTATTTATTGATAGAATTAGTATTGTGTTTAGATGATGGATAAATTGAATTAGTATTCATTATGTTTGGATGAAATTAATGGGACTGTGAAGAAAATAGGGACCCAGAGTAAGAGCATGGAGCTCAAGTCAATAGAGTAAGAGCATCTAATTTAAGGTTACACCAACTTCTTTCTTACGAAAAGGCAGAACATTGCTAACCTGCACTCAGAGTTTACATCCACTGAAAAATCACCTGAGAAGCATAACAAAATAATCTAGCATAAACACTAAAACGTAAAATTGAGGCAACAGAAAAGTTTTGAGGAAATAAGATAGTTAAGAGAAGCTAACTGCAACTCGAGATGGATCTTTCACTAATTTGGAGTGAAACAGTTGGACTGATTGATTCCACCCCTTGAGAAGTTGAATTCTCTGGGTCAACATACTTCCTATGTGTCGTTTCACCATGGGAACGATATGACTGAACAGAATTTATGTCATTTAATCTTTTAGACTTCTCACTTTCCTGCTTCTCCATGCCTTAAATCAACTTCTTACTACGGAGAAAGAAGTTGCCTCAATAACTTGAATGTCTACGGAGTATGGAGCTCAAGTAATGAAGAATCTAATGCCTATTTAACTCAAATGCCTTTTTTGCTGAATCAGTGAATATAAGTTACTGCATTGACTTTGTGGGAGGGGGGATTTCGTTTCAAGTTATGTAAGGCTATCTTGGAAATGATAGGAAGATTATGTCATGTTATATGATTTGAGTTATAAGATTTGCAGCAAAAAGTTCAAACTTTACTAGGTTCTCATACTGTTGCCATACAGAATAGAGTGCAATTATAGTATATGTAATACAATATTCTCTCCTAAGCTTTCTTTTCCATTATCATATATCAATGATATCACAATTTTTGCTTGCTTCAAAGGACCCACTCGCCGTTTAGAAGAATCTAATCTAACTAATTTTAGCTCAAACAAGTGGTGGACTTTGAGGAAATTATTACTTTAATTGGGTTTTTCAGGGAATTGTAGATTAGTACTTTGAATAGAGTGTAGTTATATGTTCTGTACATTCAAAAGTTTCTTACCCATATTATTGATTGTTCTTCAAAAGTGATGTGTAATCATATATGTCACTAAGCACCATAGTGTTCCTTTCTTTGAAAATAACTTAAGTTGTTTTTTAATCTCTATTTCTTTTTTAAAATGATCTATTAATTTCCCTAAATCATATTTAGGAGTAACTATTATCATACTTGAAATTAAGATATTGTAAATGATAGGACCAAAGAAATAAGATAGCCTAAAACTGAGATAAGAGAGAGTTAGTCAATTAGTTAGCCTAATTTATTTGGTTATAAAATCTAACTAATGCAACTTACATTTTTTTCTGTAAAGATGAATCGAAGCTGGATGTACGGTAAACGGAACACATTGGAATTTATGAATGGGGTAGCTGAGTTTTGCAAATGTTGTTTAGAATACAGAGCGTTGACCGGTTATGATGAGTTATATTGTCCTTGTGTTGATTGTGCCAACATAAATGTAACCACATAATTCATACATGAGCAAAATGTCTATTTCACAAAAATAGTTCATTTATACTCATTTAATCTCATAATATTCATACATTCTCAAATCATTCCAAATTTCATTCTTTGGAAACTATATCAATATTTCATCAATATATAATCATCATAATCCATGAAAAATAATGATTTAAGCATTTAGGTAATCTCATGCTTAACCTACAAGTTGTAAGCAATTAGATGTCAATCCTCACCTCAATTGAGCTTTAAAACCTTCCTTATCGATCCAATGACCAAAGCCTCGGCCAAGGAAGCTTGAGAACTGATTCCTTGCTTAGGAATGAGTGTTAAACAGCCCCCTCGAAGTGCTAGTTCAACCCCTAATCGTTGATACGAAAACAGCCCCTAGAATGGGTGTTTTCCGGCTAACTCGTTTCCTAGTTTCCAAGATTTGCTCTAGGTTAGTATCCAACCTTTACACACATAAAATAACTTTATAAGGACATATTATACACTTGAAGTAGTGTATAATAGTCCCACCAATCGTTCATATCATTTGAAAAATGAAAAGAAATGTGTTGGGGGTTCAAACTCACTTTAGAAGATTTAATCCGTTCCTGCGAGGTTTCGTTTTGCTCGGACGATTTGGAAGCCTTCCACTACTCCGATTGATGCAAACCAGACCTCCACGGATTCCTCGTCTTGAGAGCTTTCTTTTGGTATCTTATACGCCTAAATTGGACGAGTGAATCTCAAGTTATGGCTCAAATAATCAGAGCTACGCACTGAAGAACGAACCTGCGGACAGCTTGCTCTCTCTTTGGCTTATCTTGGTTATGTGGCTCTCTCCTTCTCTCTTATATTGGGGAGTTCGAATGGGGTGTAGGGGGGAGTGTAAAGGATGCCTTAAACATGCTAAGAGAGCATGTGGCTCACAAAAGAGCATGAGAGATATTTGGTTTGCAATCAAATATGGGGTGGACCTCCCCCTTTTGTTTTCTCTTGGAGTGTTTTGTGTATATGAGCCAAGAGTCCGCCCCATGTAGTCATCTCACCTCTTCTTCTTTGTTTTGCAGGTACTAAGTCCATGTGGGATGGTTCCCAATTGATCCCATTCAACTTTGAGTCCAAAATATCTATCAATACTTCCAAAAAATGGGAAGATGGGTCCTATTGTTTTATCTTTTGTCAAAGATGCCTTTTTGTACTCATCCTAATTTATTTAGAACAAGTCAACTTCCTTCATCACATTATTGATCTCCAATATGTGTAGGTTCATCTCAATAAATTACTTGATGGATATTATAGAAGGAAAAAGTCCTACTCCCATTATTTAGCTCACACTACTAGAAAAAAGCTTAATTGCTGCGGTTGTTTTGACTTAATTGCTGCGGTTTTGAACCGCAGCAATTGCAGGGGCAGCAAATAAGGGACCGATTTTTTTTTTAAAAAAAGTACTTATTGCTACGGATCCCCTTACGACCGCAGCAAAAAGGCCGTTCAAATTTTTACACATTACTTTTTGCTGCGGTTCCTTACATCTGCAGCAAATACTTTACATATTTAAAATATATCTGCCCTATTTAATAATTATTTGCTCTAAATTCACAATAACAAATTTTAGATCACCAAAAAACCTGTATTTCTAACCATCCAAGTTCTCAATCATTACAATACAAGTTTTAGACCACCAAAAAAGCACATTACAATGTCAATAACATCTGAAGCAACAAAAATGTATATTGTTAAAATACATGATTCATACAAGAGTTTACAAGAAATTGTCAGAAACAAATATAGCCCACATATCACGGATTTCACCGATTTCTGCCATTGACAGCGCATCATCTCTTACGTTGCTTATGTACACCTGATAAGAAATATTAATTATTAAAGTTAGGATTTGCAATATAATTTCATAATATTTACATTGTAACATTTGTAACTTTTTAAATGATTACTATTTCATTAACCAATTAAAAAATAACTTAACTTCAAGCAAAAGTAATTAGCATATTATAACTTATAAACACCAATGATGGTAAGGGCATTTTAGGAGTGATAAAAATGTTGGTGTAACATTAAAGCATTATGCACTTGTACAATTTATTTTAGTTATTGTACCCTTCCGTCATTAAATCTAAATTCCCCCTACCTCCGTTAACTCCAACTTTTGAGTTTTCGTTTTCATTATTCTTCATATTTTAATTATTCTATGCAATTGATTGATTGGATCTCCATTTAGTGTTATAATTTATTTTTTACTCTTTATTATATATGTTACGTTATGCATTACTTCTAAAAAAATACAATTTTATGTAAGGATGTTTTGTTTTGAACTGAAATTTGCTGGTCTGGTCTGGTCTGATATGGTCTGAACTGGTCAGGTCTGGTTTGGTAAACGACTGGTCTCTATGTATTTTATAACTACGGAAGTCAAGTCTGGTCTGGTGTGGTCTGGTCTAGTTTGGTCTGGTCTGATCTGGGACTGAAAACTGTCCAACAGAAAACATCCTAAGTTATTATGAATGAAATGAGCAATACCCAACAAGATTTATATCCTATCAGATTATTAAGATCGGATTAGATCTAACAGATCCATATCATATCATATTATGAAAATACAATCAAAATTGGAAAAATTCAAAATAATTTACTACTTATTGTTGTTGCTGTTATTGTTATTATCATTGTTATAATTATTGTTATTATTATTCTTATTATTATTATTATTATTACTATTACTCTTATTTTTATTATTTTTAATTTTTATATTATTATTAGGACTATTAGCTTAATATATCCTCAACTATCATCAAATTCACAAATATATCCTATACTTTCACTTTTATTATAAAAAGACTCAAACTTCAATTTTTCTAACAATTACACTTTCAATAGATGAATTTGTAAAACTTAAGAAGAAAATCATATTTATATTTCATATTTTTCACTTCTTTTAGTTTTAAGCTTACAAACTTGTATTGATTATATCTTATTAGTATTAATAAAAATGTGTAATTTTGAATAACAAAAAAGAAAAGCATAATTGTTGAAAAAAGATGAAGTTTGAGTCTTTTTTTAATAAAAGTGAAAGAATAGGATAGATTTGTGAATCTGATGATAGTTTGGGATAAAATAAGCTATTAATCCTTATTATTATTGCTGATAGTATTACTATTATTATTATTATTAAAAATCTCTTATTTTAATCTTGTCAAAATAACGTTGGGCATTTCCTTCTCGCGCATCGCGCGTAATATAACTAGTGTCATGAATAAGAATTGAAATAACCTGATCCAGATCGTGACCTTCAGCGATACTTTTAACAACATCAAACATGAATCTCATTATATAAAATCCACATTCCAAACCACCCGTTTGTTTTGCGCACTGTGATGTCAAATTGTACACATAAGATATTTGTTTTAATTCATACATTCGCTATCAAGTTAAATAAATTAAATAATATAGTAAAAAAATTAGTTAGAGAATGTAAATACTAATACCTTCATCTGTTTCCAAGTTATCTTTTTCACTTGTCCACCACCACAAATATTTCTAAAAACACTATTATGAAAACATTCAACGTTATAAACAACATAGTTCCGAAATAGTAAGATAATGCAATAACAATAATCATGTTTGTAAAGAATGATTTTATAAAATTACCTGCTGAACAATGGCATGATTAATAAGCGACGCATCGGGCTAGTCCGGAGCGAATCATACATAAAAATTATGCCGCGAGAGATCCAAACCACAAGCAACACCCAATGATAACTACACAAGTAATTTGATATGGACATTATTATGTAATAGCTAGAAAATCACATTTGTATATCGTTCATATTATAAATATAATAAATCAACTTAATATATATTGAAATTCATACGCTTCATAATAAGGAGCAACAAGAATATCTATGCCCGTATTCCGAGATTCAGTGATGGCTCGGTGTATGTAAACTTTCACATCTTCAGGATTATTTTGACATGTAGTCGCACAAATTGAATCAGGACACATCCATCCAAGTCGTGCATGTGTATCCAAACCATGTAGATAATCCTGCATTGCTCTGTAAAAATAAATTGAGTTTAAAATGTGGCATAAATTAAATACTATAGTAATAAGTTGTACAACTTGAAAATCTTACATCACAAATACTTGAATAATGGCAATATTAAGCATGGCACCAGATAGAAACTGACTGATGTCCTCGATAGTAAGATAAGCATTACCATCATCAGATTCGTAATGGAACATTCTAGCATCTAATGTAACAACAATGGGACCATCGCTAGATTGGGATGCTAAAATAGAGTGCATCCATTTGCAATCTCTGCTAAGGGACAATAGAACCTGTTCAGACACTAGAGATCGTTGTTTGGCTGGTTTTTTATGGACATCCATTTTCTTCTTTCCCTTTGATGATTTAAAACTTGTCGCCTACATATAATAACATAGCACATAACTAAATCAAATATTTAAGATGTTTATTATACACACATACACATTCAAAAAGACATATGCATGTACATATATACATATATACTGATTACTATTGTTATTACCTCACTTATAAATTTCACCCAAACAAGTGGCCATTGCACAAAAGTGCCTTGAGCGTCACCTAGAGTAAACAGATTCACACTCGGAACAGGTACAGGAAGTGGGGCACTCACATGCTCATCCAAAATTGTGTGAAACTTGTGTCGCTCCAATTGTTCTTGGCTTTCACATTATAAAGTGTTATCACGGCAGATAGCTTTGTGTATTTTGTACACCCGTGATATAATGGTTTTTCTGCTGCTTGTGACAAACTTTCAAATATATGTGGTCGTCCACTAAAGTGATCTTTCACTTCACCCATCATCTCATTGATTTGATCTACGTTGTCACTCTCATCATTATCTTCAATATCATCTTCATCGTTACCTTCACCTTCACTTTCAGTTTCAGTCTCCTCATTATTCTCACCCTCCGCATCAGAAAGATTCTCGATTGTGATATTGGTCATCTCATTGACTTTGATTTGATCTTCTGTATACCGTCCTTTCTCGCCATGCCATACCCATACATAGTATTCTTGCCTAAATCCACGACGAATTAAATGTTCTCTGATTGCATAAATGAATATTTGTGTATTGAGATTGAATACTTAAGTTGCTGCTACATAACTATAAATATGTAGAGAATTACAAATAATGAGGATAATGGTATGATAACAATAATCCTAATAGTATTGAAATACTAGTTAGTGATTATTGGAACTTGTTGATTAAATTGATCCTAGGGATTGGATTGTATGAAAGGTACTTGAAGTGTATCTAATAACTTAGTATGGAACTAAGGTTAAGTTATGGGAAGTCTTTAAGGATGACCCATGGTAGTTTAATGATATGTCAATTCTAGGCATAGGGTTGTGCTTGAGAATTGGACCTTAATGCATGGTGATGTGATAGAGCCGAGCTCTAGAATGCATGTAAGGTGTAGACTTGGAGTCTATGTATTGTATAGCTAGAGCCGAGCTCTAGGACTTGCGTGGTGATGTGATAGAGCCGAGCTCTAGAACGCAAGGTAGGGAAATTGACCCGAGGTATATGAATTGTATGGTGATGTGGTAGAGCCGAGCTCTAGAATACAATGTCATGTACTAGGGTTGGACTCTAGGAGTTGTTGTGGCTTATAGTCACGGGGTTGGGAATGGTGATTTCCAAATGAACATGGGCCCACGGGCCGACTACTTGACTTTTATATAAAGTAAGTATATTTTTAAACGGGGTAACCTAGGGTTACAATCATAATGTACTATCACCCTATTTGAGGGTCTTGTGTTTGAAATACTTGTTGTATATCTATTAGATGCCTGCCACACCAGTACTTTATAGCCGTATAGAGTACTGACCCCTTCAGGGGCGTCCCACCACCATTTCAGGTTGAGGCTAGAGCTTGCTTCCCGTGCTCGTTGCCCGAGTGATTTCCCCCGGAGAGAAGACTTGGTTCGTGCTTCCTCCATTCTGTTTTAGAACATAAATAAACATGCTCATGGATATTTTACTTTAGAGCCTGCGTGCTCATGTTTGCCCTATGTGGCCCTTTTGTTTTAAATAATGTTTTCCGCTGCGTATTGAATTGTTTATTATGTATGTTTATGGATGACTTATGTGTGAATGATATTCATGACGCCTTGTATAATATGAATGTGTTGGACTGCGGTTGACTATTCGTATTGTACGGCGGGTTGTTGACGTGTCCGGGGAGGTCCGGGGCGTGACACTTTCTCTCTCATATGTAAGGTTTTATGGTATAAGAACTTGCTAATAATTGAGCTATAGAACTTTCTCTCTCATATATAGTGCTCTTAGGTATTGGGAGATAAGTTTGCTAAAAATTGAGTGGGGGAATTAAGTGGGAGACTTTTCTCTATTATATGTAGTGCTTTTAGATATTATATTAGATTATAATATAAGCTTGCTAACTATTGAGCATGATAACCTTCTCTCTCATATGTATAAGAAGATAAAATGGCTAATAATTGTCCGAGATAATTTTCTCTCTCATATGTAGTGCTTTTAGGTATAATAAAAAGCTAAGAAGATAAGCTTGCTAGCAATTGAGTGAGAAAACTTTCTCTCTCACATGTAGTCCTTTTCAACTATAAGATAATCCGTCTAACAATTGAGTGAGAAAACTTTCTCTTCCATATGTAGTGCTTTTATTTATAACATAAGCTGGCTAACAATTGAATGAGAAAATTATCTCTCTCATATATATGTACTACCTCTGTCCCACTATGTTTGGGACAATTCGGTTTACGATGCTTGACTGATGATAAAGCAAACAGATCCCTGTCCGCACTCAAGTTATTTTTATAAAAACAAGTTTCATATTCAGAAATTACATAAAAAACTTAACAAAGTCGCAAAAACCAGAATCAAATTTGATAAAAATTTGATATATATAAAGTAAGAGATTAAGAGTGATTTGTGTTGACCAAGTAAATAGTGTATGTGACAATCTTAGCGGGACGGAGGGAGTAGTTATTTAGATACTACGTATAACAATATAAACTTGATAATAGTTGAACTGGAGCAATTTCTCTCTCATATGTAGTGTTTTAAGGTATTAGAAGATAACTTCCTAAAAATTGAACGGAGAAATCTCATAAATGTAGTTCTTTGAAGTATAAGATAAGTCTGCTAACAATAAAGCAGTGAAATTTTCTCTCATATGTAATTGAGAAAGATAATTGAGAAAGATAATTTCAGTAACAATGTGTAATTTTGGATATAAGACAAGCCGGTTAAAAATTGAGATAAATAATTTCTTTCTCATGTGTTATATTTAATTTAATTAATGAAAAACAAGTTCTTATGTAATATTCAGTTTCTTAACCTGGTGGGCAAACCACTTAAGTCGGTGGGTTAAATGTTGGAGAACATTTACCGAGTTTTATTAGAAAAAAATAAAGTATGCAATGTGAGGAGGACTATGCCAAAACCTCATAGAAGGGATTCCTTCTACAAATACAATGTAGAAAAAATAATTCAAAAAAGTTGGGGGGACTAGACCTTGCCCAATCATACACCAAACACTAATTTTTATTAATTTTAATATTTATTATATTCACTTAAACATTATGTCACTCACTTATTGTACTCATTTTTTAGAATAGTTTCTAATATGAAAATTAATAAGTAGGAAATTCTAATGAATGATATCAATTAGTTTTTAATAATATATTCTTATAGTATCAGCTTATTGTACTCTTTTTTTTCAAAATGTTGAATCCAACAAATAATATTTATTTTAATATTTGATTAGATCATGGTAAAAAATATGCACCAATTACCCTTTCCCGTGCATATGCACGGGTACTATACTAGTGTGCTTAAATAAAAGCACTTTTTGGGAAAAAATGATTAGTAGCAAAAGTTGGTAGTGTTTGGTAAAATAAGTGCTTTTTGTGTAATAGAAAAGGTAAAAAGTAAATTCTACACAAAAATCGAGATAGTAAAAGTTGGTAGTGTTTGGTAAAATAAGTGCTTTTTTCTTTAAAAAAAAGCCTAAAACACTTATTAACAGAGATTGCAAACAGAGCCTTTAGGAGAAATTGGATAAAGGGCAAGGCAAAAAGGAAACCAACTGTTCAGTTGGTCTCTGCCATTTTCTTCGAGCATATGGAAACCAATTGGTGGGGATCAACCTCACGTCAAGTTCCACTAGCACCTTCGTGACGTTGGGATCTCCATCCCTGAGGACCCCAACACCGACCGGACGACATGATATGAGGATGTAAATTGGACTATAATCACAATATGACAGATAGAGAGTGGGGCTCTGTTACCGGTACTTGCAGAGACCCTATGCATTTTTCAGCATAGTAACCTTTCATCGCAGTTGTCAGGATTCGAACCCGACACCTAACCCTCGTGGCACTCCCTCACTACCAGTTGAGCTACACCCACCGGTAAACTAAGGTATGGGTAAACTTTTTATAGTGACTAACTTCACCGCTTTCACGGCCCTTACCCCAGAAACCTAACTTTGGTTTGGCCTTACAGGTTAGTATACACCGCTTAGCCCTACCACTTGAAGTTTTTTTTGGGGGAGCATAGTTCCACTGGTGCTAGTGGGACTCGAACACGAGACCTCTCTTTCGTGATGTTGGGTAATCCAGTTCTGACAATCTGACCCATCTGGACCCACCCTCTATCACCGCCTCTGAAACTTGTTGTTTGGATTAGGGGTGGGAAAAACCGAACCGAAACCCGGAAACCGACCCTGGACCGACCCGAATTATGATTCCGGTCCGGGTTTTATTTTTAACCGGCCCGAATTAAAAAAACCCGGATCGAACCCAAAATTCTGGGCTCATTAACGGGCCTTAAAATCTATAACCCGGTCCGGGCTGATAAAAACCCGAAACAATTAGCTTTAATATAAAATAATATAATACTCGTATATGAATATAATTTTGTAAATATTTCCTAATATATATTATTATAATCACTGTGCATAAAAATAATTTAGTAACTTGTAGTGACTT